GGCTATCTCAAGATGGAAGTAAAATGGATGCCTCTTCTGTACTTTTTACGAGTGTAAAATCAGCCTGTGCATGCGTTGCACCAAAAGGAGATACACGGGCAATCTATTTGGGCACGCCAACTTGGTGGAGAGGTAGGGTTACTGTTTTTAGAACGATTTGTCTGCCTATATGAAGCAATTGACTAACTAATTTTTGCTTTTTGTGACTAGTTGTCAAACTTCATTAAAATTAGTGCATCAAAGATGAAATCACATAGTGTAATCCATTGCTTTCCACTTTCCGGTGATTTTAAATGGTAGTCTCACAATTTGAGTCTGAAGTCTGAACTTCCAAGGGTTTCAAATGCTGCCTATGATTAGTCTGCTACACCTTTGATTTTGTAAATCAACTACGCATTGTTTGTTGTGTAACAATGGCTTCCCTGCACTTACTAAATGTGCATCAAAACACACGGACCTCAAAAAATGAGGGAAGGTCTTGGCTTCCAACATCTGATTCTCTGCTGCCTACCTCACTCATAGAACACAACAAAATCAGTTGTCAATGTACACACTACCAAATTGTTTACTCACTAAATCCCTAGAGTTCATCTCTAACTTATGGTTGAAGTGTTCTAGGTGAAGCACCATGCTAGTGTGGAAGCCATTATGTCAAAAGATGCAATCTTGATTATATACCGATATATTAGCACGGTGCTTTCTGGTCTGTAAGTTGTACAGTTATGTCATTGACCATCAACTGATTTGTTTGAAGTTCTAACATGACGTACTTCTTGTTATATCCCTGACACTACTGCGATTAACATCAATCTGCGGAGAATTCTTTCCTCCATTTATTTGTGGTTGAGGGACTCAAGGTCCTTTTATGCTTGCATGTCTTGACCAGGGTTCTAAAACTCAGAAGTGGAAACTCATAGTGAGGAATCTCCCATTCAAGGTTACTTTCTTCTCTTGAAATTTAACAATTTACAGTAAATCACTCTCTTATATTTATTGTTTTCAACAATACATGATAAAGGAATATTTCTTCTGTGAGTTATTGATTGCAGGCTGAAGCTGCTGAGATAAAAGATATGTTTGCTTCTGTAGGATGTGTGTGGGAAGTTTTTATTCCTCAAAATTCTGAGACTGGGTAGATATATAATGACATGCAATTATTTGTAATTCACTCCCAATTTACTTATGGTTTCAGTTTCAAGTTTGCACTCTTGATTTAACTCTTGCAGGTTAATTAAAGGATTTGCATTTGTTAAATTCATGTCGAAGGGGGAAGCTGTATCTGTTCTTAAATGCCGAAGCTAACCTTATCCTTCTGGTGATGCAAGCCCCCAGCCTTGATTAGTAGCCTGACTGCTGCTTAACTAAGAAATTTCAAGAGATCAAAAATGGAGAAAAAGACTAAAATAGATCAATATTCAGGAGAATATGGGTTGGAGAGATCATAATTTAAGAGTATCTTTGGGCATGCTTCTTCTAGTCAGTCTGGGGCATACTTATTCTGAGATTGAGATCTCTTTTATTAGATCTAATTTGGACTTTCTTGGGATATATTAGTACGAGGAAAGATGTTATCAATGTTATTTGGCAATGGAAGGAATTTGAAAATATAAGATTCTACAACCCACTTCCTGGGGTATACTTTTTGTTTCTTAAAGCTCTGAAGATATGCATTTTTATAGCTTTAGGAACACCTTTGTAACACATGTTGACATCTAAGGTAAGAGCATCTATATGACTCCTGGCCTTAGCTTGGCTGACCTTTAAAGAGCCTTCAATACATTTAATTAGCCTTCATTTCTAGAATCAGCTTCCACTGGCGGATGGTGATTATTACTCTGACACACTCATTTACTCCATATACAGGCTATCAAGAAATTTAATAGGAAACAATTTGTTTAAAGACCCATTGCTGTTGATTGGGCTGTTCCAAAATAGGTTTGTACATCTGGCAGTAATTCTGTTGCCGCCTTAGAGGACGGTAATTTGTTCTTTAATTATCAAAATCCCTTAACTTATGATACGCTTTCTATTCTATTTCTTTTTCCCCTTAATTGGCCAAATACTAAAAATTTGGGTGCTTCGACAGTGTTGTAATCTGTTATCAACACACCTCGTTTAAAGTTTGAGTCTTATCAGTCTTTGCTTGTATTTTGCAATATCGCTCGAGTTAAGAGGAACAAAATCAAAGCTTTTCTTCTGATCCATCTTGTTTAAAGTTGATTTGTTGAAGAATTACACAGTAGTAAATAATTGACCGAAGTTTTTTTGTTTAATCATATTTGCAAATTTATGAGCTTTGGAACTGTGTTTCTTAATTGAACTCATGAAAATTCCCCCAACATTTATTGGGTGACACATTTTTGGTGACTCGATATCTTTTGCTTTGGGGATCAAGATGATTACATTATACTCTATTTAAATTGTGGATTTTACAGGACAGCACGACACTGATGGAGAAGATGGCAGTAGTAGTGATTCGGAGGATGCTGATTTGGAAGTCACAAAAAAATCACAATCTCATAGTGTTGATAATGCAGCTGACGAGTTGGATTCAGTTGAAGTAGATGATAGTACTTATGAAGTTGATTTTGACGTGGAAGCAGAAGTTGCAAGAAACGTACTCAAGAGGTTCATTTCATCATCTTCTAGAAATGCAGCCACTTCTGGTAATGATGACCCAGAGTCATCTGAGGGGAAAAAGGGCAATGAAATTGTTCAATTACAAGATTAATCAGTTATGCATCCAGTTCCCATGGAGTAGAACAAGTGAATGCTTTGGGAAGTGAACAAATTTGTCCGACTGAAGCAGAGGACGACTTGCTCAGCACTGTTTTCATAACCAATCTTCCTTATGACATTGACAATGAAGAAGTGAAACAATGTTTCTCTGCATTTGTTGAAGTGCAGTCTTTTTTTCCCGTTCTTCATCAAGTGACCAAGTAAGGACAAGTATTTGACTAAATCTGCTTCAAGATCTCTTTATTCATCATTGTTCTTTTGTGAACATCCGGCTACATTTCTGCAGGTGACCCAGGGGGACTGGATTTCTTAAGTTTAAAACAACAGATGCTGCTAATGCTGCATTTTCAGTAGCCAATGCTGTATCTGGTTTAGGTATCTTTCCTAAAAGGAAGACAGCTGAAAGTTCTTAGGACTTTGGACAAGAAAACAGCTCAGGATAAGGCACTAGAGAAGGCCCAAAAAGAGGATTGTGACCAACTTCTTTACCTGGCAAAGGTTGGTTTACAAGTCTGCGCTTTTCTCTCGTCAATCCTTGAAAAAATGGATACGTTAATATTGTTTCTGCTGTTTGTGCAGTCACATATCTTTAACTTCCAATTAAATTTGTGTTTGGACATTTCTTAATAGGAGGGTCTTATCATGGAAGGGACAACTGCTGCCGAAGGAGTTTCAGCAAGTGACATGTCAAAGTGCAACAAGTAAATGAGATTCTTTCTATTAGTAGCAGCATAATTGAATGACAAAGCTTGCCTTTGCCAGTCGTAAGAGGCCCATCTTGGTGGCCTGAAATTCTTATTTTAGTAGAAAGGTTCTGGGTTGGCTACTTCATCCTGGGGTTTTTAGGGAACGTAATGAATTTGGCCATCTCATCTATCCCTATGAACAAAATATAATCTTACAGAATTCTAGGTTTTGTTTTGTTTTTTTCCTAAAAAAGTCTTAACAGTATTTAGGCAGACTTGAACTTCAAATCAACAGTTGTGTTCCTTGAGACCTTGACTAGTCATTTGTGGGATTCAAGGGCAGAGCTATGACAGGCCCAGTGGGGGCACCTGCCCCACTGGGTATTTTGGTTTTCTTAGAAAATTGAAATTCAGCCCTCTATCTCCTAAGTTCCTAATTTTTGAACTTGTCTTTGAAAACCCAGCCCAAGCAACGCTTAAGCCTAAATTCCTAATGGATCCCAAATTCCCAATTATCCAATCCTAGTTTCTAATCGGTATTCTGGCTACGTTCCAGTAGAAGCCGCACTCAACAGTCCACACTCTTACATTATGGAGTTAATTGTTCCAATGGTTATTGAACTTAGGTCCATGTCTTTGATTGGCCCCTGAACTTTAAAATGTCGAGTTTTGATCACTAAACTTAGGTCCATGTCTTTGATTTATCACTGAACTTTAAAATGTCGAGTTTTGGTCACTGAATTTTGAAAAATGTCGAGTTTTGGTCATTGAACTTAGGTCCATATTTTCGATTGCTCACTGAAGTTTAAAATGTCCAGTTTTAGCCATTGAACTTTGGAATATGTCGTACGTTACTCACTAGCATAACTGTTGAACTTTGAAAAATATCGAATTTACAGTGAATAATGTACAATATTTTTCAAAGTTCAGTGAGTAATGTACAACATTTTCAAAGTTCAGTAGTCAAAACTCGACATTTTAAACTTCAATGAGCAATCGAAGACATGAACCTAAATTCAGTGACCAAAACTCGACATTTTTCAAGGTTCAGTGGCCAAAGCTCGACATTTTTCAAAGTTCAGTGGCTAAAGCTCGACATTTTAAAGTTCAGTGGTCAATCAAAGACATGGACCTAAGTTCAGAGACCAAAACTCGACATTTTAAAGTTCAGTGGTCAATCAAAGACGTGAACTTAAGTTCAGTGACCATAGGAACAATTAACTCTACATTATGGAAGCAAAACTTTGAAATACTACTTGCTCATTTTTTGTTTTTTAGTCTTAGACTTCATCATTTTTGCGCATTACACTTGGATGAGTGGTTTAGGCTCCCTGCTACCAGAGGCTTTTTGCTAGTTAACTTTTGGTTCAAAGATGGTTTGCTAAGCTGAATTGAATTGCTTAGAGAACAGTGATTAGATGAATGTGAATAGAATCTTGGACTCCAATTTAAGTTCTATTTATTTAATTTCTCCTTTGCCTCTATAATGCAAAAATCATTTCATACTCTCACACTTAAAGATATAGAAATTATTTCATCCTTCATTGGGCACTTGGACTTCTCTAGGTGTCTAGGCTAAAGACTAAAGACGAGGAACATAATTGTACTGCTGATGAGCATTCATAACTTTAAGAGAGCGTATTATTCTTGAATTCTACTTTTACAAATTAGTGATCTAGATGAGATTTCTTGAGTTTTATTTATTAGTGTTCTTGAATTTCTGAATTCTACTTTCACCAATCACAGTAAGG